TCTCCTTTTCTCTCTCTGCCTATCACTCCTTTATTTTTTGGTGAGAAGAATGACTAAGTCTGTGGATGAGATGCTAATGGATTTCATTCTGTATGACTTTTGCAATTATTTGACAAATGAGTTATTGTAAGGCCAGCTGCCAGTTTTAGGTTGGATTTCTTTTCTTAGGATTTGATTTGTCACATGTAAACATAATTACATACACAAGCAAGGGAAATGTGTTATTGTTGCTAATTCTGTCTTGTCCTGTCTTGATGGTTTCCTATCTCTATTCTCATACGGTCTTCTCTTATTTTCTTGCCAATTAATAATTAATACATACTTTAGCTTTTTATGTTTATTATGACAGGCTAATATTTACTTTACGAGTCAGATACATCAAATGAACTCAGCTTGAGCTGTCTGCACTAGAGTTTTTGTTTCCCTTCATCACTTTGCTGTATGCTTTGTAAGTTTTGATTGCAACTATTTGTTTTTTGATTCTGAAAATTTGATGCAACTTCTTGATGAGGCTGCAGGTATATTGAATTTTATGATGCAATGTCAGTGCCAATGGCTATTGCTCTCTCTGGCCAACTTCTTCTTGGACAACCTGTGATGGTGAAACCTTCTGAAGCTGAAAAGAACCTAGTCCAATCTAATGCTTCTGGTGGAGCGGCTGGTGTAGCTGGTCCTTATGGAGCTGTGGACAGAAAATTGTATGTGGGAAATCTCCACTTCAACATGACTGAGAGTCAGCTACGGGAGGTATTTTTTCTTTGTTTCTGATTTATTGGCTGTTGTGGTCTTTACTACATTTATCAGGAATGTGAAGGCACATTATTTATTGAATACCAATAGCTTGACAAAACTTATCTCTCCTTGGAACTATTCAATTTTGTTTCTCTATACCGGATCTAGTTTGTTGATAGGTTGTTACAAATTTGAATCTTGTTATTGTGACAGTTTTATCATCATTTGACAAATTTTTTTTTTCTGTTTTTAGATTTTTGAGCCATTTGGTCCTGTTGAGGTTGTCCAACTGCCTCTTGACTTGGAAACTGGACACTGCAAGGGTTTTGGGTTTGTTCAAGTTCGTTTCTAACACCTAACTTGGAAAAATATTGCTCTATGTAATAATTCTATTTATCTCTTTAATTTGATTTCACTGTACAGTTTACCCATCTTGAACATGCCAAAGCTGCTCAGAGCTTAAATGGAAAATTGGAGATTGCTGGCAGGACTATCAAGGTAGAATATTTGTGTTAGTCATTTTATTTTTAACTTGTTAGCTTTAAATTTTGATGATGACAATTCTGCTATTTCTTGTGTTTTTGATTGATGTTGTTCATCTAATTAAGGTGTCATGTGTAACGGATCATGTTGGAAGCCAAGATACAACTGCAAAATCTGCAGATTTGGATGACGATGAAGGTGGACTGGTAGGTTTGCTCTCGTTGTATGATCATTAGCGCAAACTCTTAAAAAAGAGTGTTTTTATTCCTTCCTGAAGTTAAAATTATATTCTTAGCAAAAGCCTAAAAATACTTTATCATAAAATCACATTTTTTACCCTTGCATAATGGGCCTTGAAGGTATTAAAGATTTGGTACGTTGATATCTTTCCAGACTGCTAGATGAGGGTGTGTAAGTCTATTTGACATATCACCATATAGCACATGTCAACAAACCTCTGCAGTTTTGAATATAAAATTACTGTATTTTTTTTCAATTCAGACAAGGATATCAAGTTAACACGTATATTTGGTTGGACTCTTTGAAACTCCTACTATAAAAGAATTAAAAAGTTAGTTTAATTTGTATTAAAATAGTAAAAATATTATTAAAATTTAAATGACTTCAATTATTATAGTAAACATCAAAATACAAAACTAAAACATCGAGAAAAATGATGCCTCTTAGCATTTTTTGCGAGGATTATTATTATTGCTCTCAACTTGGTGCCTTAAAGAGATATGTTTCATCTTCCTACCATGGAATATTTTTTATAAAGATTCCATTGTGAAGTGATTCACATTCTCTCGTCTTAGTATTTTTGCCAATGTTATTATGATAAATATTCTGAAGCTTAACAACTTTATTTTTAGAACATGAATATATATTTTCTTAATTCAATTTTCCAGATATATTTTAAACACTATCTGTTTGTTAATTTCGGAGTAGCTTCTGTTTAGTTGTCCCCCGCAATGAAGTTTTAGTGCTGGTTAGAATTTGCACCGAGGTTATAAGTAAATTATGGACATAGGTTAGAAGCAGGTGCTTTCACCATTCCCCATTCCCTCTTTCCTTTCATAAGATCTTTCTTTTTATTTTCTGCACCTTTCACTTTGTTGTTTTGTAGTGTCACAAACCACATTTCTCCATAGTTGGGGACGATTCTGATTGTGTTCATGAAGCTTACTTTGTTCCTACCTTTGTTTTTATTTTTCTGGTATGATAGCAATTCTGTCTCTTGAAAATGAGAACCTTGCTTATCTGCTGCACTCTGATATGCAGACTTTAAATGCCCACTCAAGAGCATTGCTTATGCAGAGGCTGGCTGGTGCTGACATTTCTGCAAGGTTTGTTGTTAATAGTATTCCTCAAATTCTGTAGCTCTGATCATTATCTTCACAGTTTTCAACTTTGCAGCATGGGTATGCCTGTTGTGAATGGCTCAGTTCCTGCTCAGCAGGCTGTTAGCTTACCTATTGGTGCACCAGCTCTACCTGCACAAATTATGCCTACCCCAGTGGTAGAACCTGTTGGAAACCCCAGCGAGTGTTTACTTTTAAAGAATATGTTCGATCCGAGCACTGAGGTCTGTGTTTGACTTATATATTATCACCATGTAATGTTTCATTTAACAAAATACTGATGATGATAAGCATTGCAACACAGTCGGAGCCAGATTTTGATATAGACATTAAAGAAGATGTAGAGGAAGAGTGTTCTAAATATGGCCGGGTGAAGCATATTTTTGTTGACAAGTAAGTTCATAAATGTGTAACATCCGTCGATAATCATGAACAATTTTATTGTATGCCTCAGCCTTCAAATAAATTTAAACTAATTCCACTTCCATGTGAGTTATAACTCACAATTCTTTTATTGGTTTGGCATGTATACAGAAAAAGTTCAGGTTTTGTCTATTTGCGGTTCGAAACAGTGGAAGCAGCAAGTGCTGCTCAACGTGCAATGCACATGAGATGGTTTGCACGCAGGTTAATTTCAGCCATCTTCATGGTAATATTTTGATATTCATGTGTTCCCTGCTTTATTGTTGTTTTTGGACTTGAAAGTGTGATATACAATTAGTAACAAATTAGGTGCTTGCCTTTTTCTGTTTTTTATTTTTTGTTAATATGTTTTGAAGTAATAAATTACAAAAAATTTCAGATAAAATGACATTTTTGGTAGTGACATTTTTGTAGTGAATGGTTAATAAATGCTTAGCATATAGTGTACGCAAAAGATGCAGAAGAATGACAATTATTAATAAGTGTTTTTGATTTAGCTACCCGAGTCATTGCTTTTATGCATTTGATAAGTTATTATGAGGAGGCTATGCTCAAAAGTTGGGCGTAGTTAATAAAATTGGTGAAAATCCCATAAAGTCACTAAAATAACAGATCTAGTCATCTCTAGAACCTCAGGTTACACGGGTCTAAAGCAGGATTTTCTAGTAATTTTCATCACCTTACTGAAGTAGTCCAGAGTTGAACTTGTTAATTTTACTTGGGTGTTTTTTTTCTAGGATTAGCTTTTCTTTTTCAGATGTTTATGTAGGTTTTTACTCTTTTAGTCCGAGCACCATCCTACCCCCGTTGTTCTTGTGCATTTTAACACATTTCAGATCAGACCCCCAGGGTTACAAGGGACTTGTTATTAGCAAGTTCTTCAGGAACCTTGTTTTGCTACCTTGTAGCTCCGTCGGGGTTTAGAACTTCTTGTTTTACTTTCGTCTCTCCTGCAATGTTTAGGAAGTATGTAACGGTGTGGGCTTGTAGATATTTCTGAATTCTTTTCTGTATTATGTATATTTTATAAAAGATTGGGAGCTTGTAATAAGGCTCCCTGGCCAGGGCCTTGTATTAAATTTTTATCAAACTAGGATGTTATTATTTGTCTAATATCCGATAATCACATGATCATATTATGTGTCCTCTGTGTCTTTGTTCCCTCCCCTTTTTTCTTTTTTCTGTTAAATTTATAATGTTATGCAGTAAACTTTTCCTCTACATTACGAGAGATTATTTGTTTTGCAGCAACCACAATTATATGAAGCCAAGTTTAAAGGGGAGTGAAAGTGAAGTTCATTGATGCCTCGGGATTCCTGATTATTATAATATGCATAATTTTGAGGTCTTCAGTTTTTCATAAATTAAGCTCTAGTTTATGTAGATGTTGATTCATGAATGTATTAGATTACAGAGATTGTTGTGTTGATGTTGGCTATATCTATGATCAGCTTAACATTGCGCATGTTAATGCATTTTAACGATCTTTCTATACCGTTTCATCTTGTGTAATGTAGAATATCTTTTATTTTTTTGTCTTTACCATTGATCTTATTTATCGAAGTTTATTAAAAATTATAAAATCATTAGGGTTCATCGTACAAAATTGTATGGTTTTGAATAAATTTTAACCATAGAAAAGGATGTGGGATGTCTCTGGATTTTTTAGTTAATATTTCTCAAATATGAGTTGACTGATCCCCAATTATTTTTTACATTCTATTCAAAATATTTTTATAAATTAAATTTTATTCTAAATAACTTGACTGCAATTGGTTGAATAAAAATTGACATTTACAAAATATTTATTTTGGTAAATTTTAATTAATAACAGACCGTGCCCAAAGTCATTGACAATTCTCAAAATGTAATACTATGCTTTAAAGTTATATGAATATTCGCATATTTTTACCCTTTCTAAAAGCATGAGAAATTTGAAGACACCACCAACGAAACGTTACTACACAGCAACTCGGAATCACATTCTAATCAATGCTTCTCCTACCCATGATGACATGCCTTTTCACTAGCTAAAACATCAACCATAATCTTAGCATATGGAGCATTATTATCCATAAAATCACCAATTAACTCATCCTTGATACCCCTATATATACCAGCTCTACATACATTACCAGATTGGCACGCACAGCCCCCGTTAATATTACTCTTTACTGGACTGTGATCTCCCAAACTTGAATAATTTTCGGAGCCTTCCTGAAACGAGATTCGAATAGATATAACTTTAAATTAATGTGACAAATAATTATAAAAGAATTGTATAAATTCTAATTTAGATGTTAACTTCGAAAATTAAAACATAGATATAGTATGAAAGTAGATTGATAGAAAGAAAACGTTTTGAAAAGTAAATAAATATAAATCTAACTACCATGAAATAAGGATTTTGAAGGATCATAATACTAGTGTGCAAAATGAAAGATATACACTATAAATAAAAGGATATATATGAAGAATCATAGCGATGATAGAATACACCTTCATTGTTTTTTCATTAACAAAAGAAGTATGCAATATTTGTGTAATGTTGAGTACATCCTTTAAGTATTTTTATTTATAGACCATATCAACTATTGCTAATTTTAATGGATACTCTTTACTTTGTACCAGTTCCAATCTAATATGCATAAATGATATGCCATCTAAATATTATAATTCTTTTATACGTGCTTATTTTTCTCCATTTATTAGCTGTTTCATTGATGAAATAATCTTTTTTTTTTTTACAAGTGTTTAACTTAATTAAGTATATAGCTCTATAAAGTCCTATCTATGAATCTCTTTTACCTTCCATTTTTATTGAATTTTTCAAATTCAATGATTAGTGACCAAATTAAATCGATAAAAGATAAAACTGACATATAGCTATTAAAATACGTTACTACAATGATGTATACTTTAATTATCAACAATTGTATATACGTTTGTGACGAATTTAGCGAATGAATGGAATGTTTTCATGTTGCCATTGACTTGGTTCAGTAAATCAGTCACAAAATTGATCCATGAAACGTGACTTAGTTACTATATATCTTTTCCACTATATCAGTTAAACGGTCGCCAATAAAGATGATTAATTTCGTTAATTAAAGACAATCCAGTAACGTGACTCATGCGAAACATCATTTCCTGAATGAATAAATTGAATATAGTAATTATATATTAACGTTTTCTTATATTCTTACCTTTGTCTTGTAACTCATTTTTTCCAAGTTACAAACAAAATATGTATAATCACTACTTGAAAAATAACTTCTCACATTAATCTATTAAATCGGTTATCACAGAATTTCTCTATCAATTCTGGCAAATGTTGAAGATAGACGTTGCAAATCGCAGAACTTAAATATAGGTTGCATCCTTAGACGATCCAATGACGAACAAAATTCGTACGCAAATAAGGGTTCTCAAAAGAAAAGAGCACCCCAAAGTATCCATGTCCATCAACTTTCATCACTATTCATTCTTCAAAACCCAAACTTCTGAACCTTAATTTGCATTTTGCAATGAATCAGCAAACTAATGAATCATACTGTTACCTTGTGTTACACATTCATTCTTTAATAGCTTTTCTTCATTCAAAAACACACCACGTACATTGCATGTGAGTGTAGACCTCAAAATATTTTTCCTCTCCTTCCTCCTTCATTCACAACAAGAAAAACAGTAAATTACTCTAAGAAAAAGCTAAAGCTAAAGATTACGTTAAACATGTTGAAATTCCAAATTCATTAGTGATACGATTAAGTACAAACCTCATCTAAACGATTCAATTTTATCCACAGTTTATGAATGCAAGCAAACCATTTGAACTGCGCTAGTCAAGATACAATACTTTGCATCGTAAAGTAGATGAGAACAATAACATGCACAATCTGAGAGATTTAAAATAACGCAACACTGTTCTTGAGACTTGAGACATTTCTCTGTATATACAAGAACTGAAGTTGCGTAGAAACTTTTCTACAAACAAAAATCTGGGACTGACCCAGTTAACAATTATTAAAACCAAACCATAGCTACTTCCCAAGTTCCAATTTTTACTTTCTCTCTTCTCATGCCTTCACCCTTGTATCATTTGCAGCATTAACAGGTCTTGTGACCATGTATATACTCACTAGAGACCGATATCTCCTTTGCTTCTTCGTTGGAAAAACCTCAATATCATTCCCGAAAATCTCTTGTATTTTTGCCATTATAATGTCATTTACACTTTCATCACTTTTGTTTCTTCTCCTCTTGCTTCCTCTAATGTCGTTGCTCTCATCTTCATCGCTGAGCTGCATAAGGTTCTGTGCTGTGTTCAACTCAGATTCACTTATCATCAGGTTATGATCCTTCACACTCTTAAGCAAAGAAGAAGAAGAAGGTGCTTCTGCCATTAGATTTTGGTGTTGAACACTTTGAACCCACTTATAACAATTATATGCATATGCGTGTGTTTTGTGCAGCTCAACAAATCATGTTATTATTAAAATACTTGTGAGTTTTTAGCGTGTTTTGTGGGTACGTGTTGTGTGAGTTTTAATTTAGAAAAAAACGAGACCACCTAGATAGAAACTACGAGGTTGGTTCTATGAACCTGACAACCTTATATTATTCATTTTTCAAATAAGCTTTGTTTGATGATGCATCTTTGACCGTTGGATTGGTCTCTATGATCTCATCTTTGACTTATTGGTCGGCAATCCAATGGTTACAAAAATTAGCAAAACTTGTTTTAAATGGTTTCGTTTGAATGCGTGGAAAATCCAAAACGGTTTGAGACTTCATCGTTCTTTTTTATCATTGCTCTGCTAGGGTTGACCCAAGTCATGGAATCAGACACATACTAAGGTTAATTCGTTTCTTCTGTAGAATTTGTAACACCCCTTGATGGAGATCTGTGGAATTTATAATTTTTTTTTTCTTTTTCTAGAAACTTGTTTTTGTTCTTCTGAGGAAAGAGTCCACTTGGAAAACTTCAAATTGTTTTCACATATAAGCTGAAAAAGATGGCTATTGTTGCTTTCTCTATCCAAACTCCTAATTCCTTCAATTATTTTGCCTCTTATTTAGACTCTTCCATTTTATATTAATGAATAAAATAAGCATATAACAACATAAAATACAATATTGTATTCATCAACCAACTAAGATCGATTACCTTCAGTCATTTATTTCATCCTTCTATCTTTCTCAAGTTTCTAAAAGAGTATGTTACGTGCAAAAAATAAAAACACTTCAATGTTTCAATGGAGTAATTTTTACTTTTTGGAAAGGAAGAGGAAAAAGGGAGAAGTGTATTGAAGAACACAAATGTTTGTCTGATTTAACCATTGTTTGACTAAGTAAACTTATTTTCTTGTTAATTTATGAACAAAACTCTCCCATTTTTTTTGTTCTTTCTTTCTCAGTCACGCGCTTTCCTTGAGAACAAAGAATATATACACTTGTTCAAGTAAGAGAATTTGGAACGTGGAAGCAAAATAATTGTGTAAACTATGAACAGTGAAAGTTGAGGGTGGACGATGTTTACGATTTTGGTCTCTACATCGTTAAATTTACGATTTTTATCATTTAGCTTTTTATATTCTTTTACCTTTTCATCATCATTTATTATTTATTAATAATAGATTATTTAACCACTTAAATTAATTTATTAAAATATATAAATGAAAAATAATCATAATTAATTTTAGATAAATAATCATAGTTAACTATAATAATTAGCCTTATTTCAGTACCATTTTCTTTATTTGCTTTTAAATTTTACTTTCAATTCACAAGTTTGCAATAGTAACTACAAAATATGACATAACTCTATTTTTCCTCGACTGAAAATAAAATGGGAATCAAGTGCGTGATAATAACTATTTCCATATTCTTCTGTTCCAAAATATTTTTGAATTACAATTGGTTTGAATTGACTTCAAATTCAATAAACACAATGAGAAATTGAGCATGTTAGGAAAGTATCATTTCACGAGATTCATTGTTGAGAAATTCAATCAAACTACCAACTAAAATGGGAATGGGATTGTTAAGAGTGTCAAGTGAGGTTGTGAATTCAAAGTACAATGAATTGGGTTAATTACTCTTCGTAAACAATGAGTCAATCATGCTAATTCAAGACACATTCTGTTCTTCTAAAAACAGAAATATCATCTCATCATGAAGCAAATTATAAATTGCAATAAAGTCGAAGAGCGGTGTGATGAAAACTTAGATATAGGATTCATCATCATTGAATCCATTTTATAAGAATATAATCATTACTTTATTTAACAAAAATCAATTTTATATTTTATTATTTTTAATATGACATCAAAATCAGCTTTATCCATATTCAAATATAAAAAATCTGTTTAAAATAATAAAATTTTATATTAATTAGAGACACAATAATATTATAATATATAATAAATAATACGATTGTAGTTTATATTTTTTACAGTAAAAGTAAAGGAGAGAAAGAGTGAATAAATTATATAACAATTAAGGCGGTGTAAATAGAAAAACCTAAAATGGGGTGAATATTTTAAATGCAAACCCATTTTGGCAATTGGGCTAACCCTATTTAGCACGTTTTAGTTATTATTGGGCAAATAAGTAGTCTACAAATAATAAATTCAAGTTTATGGTTTCAGGCACATTTCTCTCCCATTAAAGGAAGTGTTTATAACTAGAGTGGATTGTGTCAATTTTTTTATTTTTTTTATGGTGGAATGCTTGGTTACAAAATTTTTAATTTAATCATAAAATTTAAATATATTAAAACAAAATTCTTCAACGTAAATTTTATCTCATAATTATTTTTTATATTAAATAAAATATCTACGTATTGTCATTAAAATAACCCGTATTTGCTTTATATTATGATAAAATATAATTTTATCTATAAATTTATATTTTAATGATAATATATAATAATTTATTAAAAATAAAAAATATTTTAAGAGATTTTTTTATTTTTTTTAATATTTAAGTGCTTACTAGAAAATATATTTATTTAAAAAAAAAAACTAAAAACACCATTTGACTCGTTTTTCATTATTATTTATAACCTGTCATTTGACTCTAGCTTTATTGAGATTGAATTCACGTTTATGTTCTATTTAATAGAAAGAAACTAACAAAATGACAAATAATTAAGAATAAAGTATAAATAAAAATTATTTAGTTAAATAAAGAGAAATAATTAAAAAATATTTTAATATTAATACTATTTTATATTATTCCAATTATTATTATTAATTTTATATTACTACATTCATTTATTTTATAAAAAAATTTGAAAATAAAAAACAAATCCATTTCAATTATATAACTACCATAATCGATTAATAGGTATTTTAATCCTAAAAACAATTATCAAATATTTTAACCTCAAAACACCCAAAATAATTATTGAGCATTGTTTTCACCGCACAAAATTGATTATATTCACACCATAATTTATTTCACCCTCACTTTCATGTCATGGACCAACCTTCTTCGTTTTCAGCACTTCCCTTTTCTATCCAACCAAACCACTCCACCTCCCTCCTTAATTTCTTCCTCTTTCCCCTCATCCAAACCTTGACTTTTATTCTTTTTCTGTAATCTGTTAGGTGACATGTAAGGACATTGATCTTCCTTCTTGTGAGATACTATTAGCAAACTTGACAGTCCAAATAGTTTGCAGTGGCTTAACTATTTTTGGTGTTGATGACCAGAAAATTAGAACTGAGAAACCCCACAGCATATGTTTATGTTTGATGAATGAAGGCAATTGTTGGAGATTGTTGAATAATAAAAACAGAAGAAGACATGTGAGGAACAAGAATAAGAATATCCATAGTTGACGGTATTACAAATGACCAAAAGGTTTAAACAAGAACCTTAGAATATGACAGCTAATTGTGGAGACTGCAGATCCCCCATGTTGGACAGGGAATAATTTATCATTCAATGCCTCTTTCTTATAATACAAGAAACTGGAAAGAGAATAACACTAAAACCCACAGAAAATATAATGAAAGAATAAATGAAAAACCCCTATTACAAGGTAACAATGTGTCAGCCCCCTCCCTCCCCTTCCTCTTTTATCTCTACACACCCGAAAAATATAAACTTCCATCCTAAAATTCTTGCAACTTTGTGAAGCACCACCTTGTTGCATTCCACGCATTGTTTCTTCAACACGAGTGTAGCTGAAAAATAACTAAGACCATCCTTTTTCTTTATTCACGACTCATCACAATTCAATCCACAAATTTCTAACACAGGGCCATCTCTTGACACAAAGGGGTTAATTCTGACCCACATGAGAGTCAAGATGGAGGCCAGAAGGATTGACCAAACCAATATAATGGTTGGCATCCTGTCTTGTTTTCCAAGCAACCCCTTGAGGAAGGGGTAGAGATGGATGATGACCCACAAGGCAAAGAACAATCTACCAAAGAGAGGTCCCCATGAGTCATAACCATTGTTGATGGCATCTGAGACCCCAACAACCACCCCAACAATGTTTATGATCAGTAAAGTGGTTGGAGGGATCAAGAGTGATGTCCACTTGAAGATGTACAGTTCTGAGAATTCTCCATCATCAGCTGCTTTTGAAGTCACAGTGAAGTTTGTGTTCACACCAGCCAAGACCTTCAGTAAACCCTGAAATAGGGCAAAAAGATGGGAAGAAACGCCTCCAATCACCCAAAACTGTTCGTTCCTCCACCAGTCGTCTATGGTGACACCTCCCCATTGCATCTCAAGGATGCCAGTTGCTGCAATGGATATGAAGAGACCCATAAACACAAGACTGGCATAGTTGCTAATCTGCATTTCAGACAGAAAATTGCATGTTAGTAACCAATTGTATAGCTTTTATTATTTGATGTAAAATCAAACTGCTTAAAATTATAGGGACAAATTGACATAATAATATGCAATGCCAATAACAAACAAAATAGTTTCCAGATGGTCAAAAGCATGAGTATTTAGTTGTTCCAAACTCATTTTTATCCTACTTTTCCAATACATACAGTATGAATTTGCCTCCTGTAACGAGTTATAAATGTAGGTTATAATATAAAATGCCGCAATTATGATTTATATGCATATGCATAACATATTATGGAGTTAAAATCTATTCTCTTGGTTTTCCAAAAAACGTAAGTTATAACTTCTCGGTATTCCTCTACAGTCTACCTTCTCAATTTTAGAGGAACTAGATCCTAGTATTATTCTATCCAAAAGTTACTACTCTTCAAATTTTAAATGAAACTTGAACTTTCATTTACTTGTCCATTTGACCTGTCAAAAGTGAATTCAACAACCCAGATACTACATTTTCTTGTTTTTTACTTCCTTAGGTGGGGGAAGGGGAAATGTAAACAGGATTTGTTTCCACTAAAAAGACAGA